CGATAATAATTAGTCAAAATTAGGACAGAGTATTTTCGATCTATTGAAAAATATTTTAGAAACTGAATTTTGCATTAATTTGGCTCTTCTTTAGCAGAAATGAAAAATTTATTTTGCTAAAATCATTTTTATTTTTAACATAAAATTATCTCATAATAATGCGTTAATTTAATTTTTCAAAGAAATATATAAATTTGTTGACGAAAATATTTGATACGAGTTATAAGAGACGGCGAAGATTATGGAATGCAGAACGAGTAAATGTGAAATTTATAAAATATTTTTACATTTCTCATTCCAAAAAAATTTATGAACTTTATTCTTTCCTAAAAAAAAAACATATCTAATAAGAACAAAAGACATTCTAAACTGGAGAAAAATCCCAACTTGGCAGCATTGCGAAATGGGTGTAAAACGTCAGAAAAACCGGATTATCGAGCGTGCTCTTCGATGAGACGCAATAGAATTTAGTGACGTCATCGAGTCGGCGCACAGGCGTTTTCTTTACACGGCTAAACCGCACTGTAGCGTGTAACACCTGGTCGATCGAGTGGAATAGGACTTGATGGCGTCACACGACCCTCGATGAGATCACTGGTCGTAAATGATGTCACCGTGCATCGGCTACCCGCGTCGGTTGTGTAGCGTCATATACTGTGACGCAATTTCATCCGTTTTAAGCATCAAGGAAAATGAAGCTGACGTCTTTTATGGGTCAGAGATAATTTTTTACGCTATGAGGCAGTTTATTTTTGAAGTCGGATGAAACCGCTCGTTATGCTCCGATAGAACGTTCTTTTTTTCCTTTTCAGTTATTTCTGGTTAGTTGCTGGGTAGACGTATTATGTATTAGACGTAGCTGAATGTGTGTTTATGAAAAACACTCAGTTTACTTGATCTCTTTGCAAAAGAGAAACAAAGGTGGAGATAAAGACAGTTGAAATTCAGGATGACATAAATTATCTAGTTTATAATCGAAGATAGAGATTACAAATTATATTATTGTCAAATTAGATTTTATAATATATGAGTTATCTCAAAAATCAAATTTTGAATCGACAGACATTATTTTTACAAATTATGATGTATGTCGACTGTTGAATAAAACTTGTCGGACAGTTTTCATAATAAATAAAGTCGCTGTAGGACTCCGCGAAGTAAAACTCACTCTCATCTTTTAAGACAATATTTACGTATGCGGAAACATGTTGGCGCCAATTGGTATCGATCAGTGCGATTCCACGATTTTGCGAAATCGCGCTTCCGTCGTGAGCAAAACAATTTGGCGATGTTTGAGGATGATTATTAAGCACAACAATTAGTAAGCTTTAATTTTACATGATGCTATAATTGAAATTTTATTTTACACTGCTGAAAAAAATAACATTTTTTTTAAATTTTACATTTATTACGCAAACCTATAATTATAAATATTTTAATCGAATTTTATCTAATCAATACTAGGTAATTTATAAATTCAAAATTTAGGTAATAAGTCGAAAATAATATTAGGTTCCATTTTACACAAATCATATAAAAAATAAATAAATCTTTTAGAATACAAAATCTAGCTTATTTTTACGTGTATGTAACGTGTTAAAATTTAATTTAGCTAAATTTGGTAACAGTTTTTGGATCAAATCGACTATTATACATATAATAATCGATTAAATTGATTCACGCGTACAGCAATTGGGGAATAATTATGTATTAATTACATGATTATTCAAAATATAATTATTGCATTGCTACCACTAATAATATCCTAATCCTTACGTTTGTATACACATATGCATTCTATTACCATTGAAATGAATATCTTTCAAATTAGACAGATGATATACGCGGAGATACGTATTTCGGAGATACGTTAACAATGTCGAAACAACATCGATTCTTGCCCGAAAATTCGAGATCTCCCATATCGTCGTTATTGCGACTCAGTTTGTTTTCTCACTCAGAGGCATCGTATTATTCGATCTATTTTAAAGATAGTAATAAACATAGCTCTGCAAGTAATAATAGTCATGATTTTTTTATTAAGGACTGCTAAGAAACTGCTAAAAAACTGGTTTTTAGATCTCTTATTACCATTAATTTGTCTTGTGTTATATATATATATATATATATATATATATATATATATATATATATGTAAGAACCATATGTTACTGATGGACAGATACAGTTCGTGAATATATCATTGTGCACATAAAAAGTCTGGCAATACATAGAGATACACATGGAATCATATAGTTATGTTAGAGATCTATTTAAAGTGATTGTAATTACTTGATTGATGACCGTGAAGAAACCGGTTTTTGAATTTCCGTTTACGATTGATTTATAAAATTGCATATAAGATTCTCCGAAACGTTAAAGAAAATATTAATAAACACATGTTATCTCATATCGTAGAAATGGAATTATATATTTTCATATTTGAATTAAATATTTTTATATAATTTTATATACACGCTGAGTAAGATCAGCAATCGCATGTTGAAGACATACGCGTGAAATGAAATTCTTTTCGAGTTTCTTATGACTAAATTAATCTTTCTTATCACAAAGATCAATAATTTTTCACGATTATTTTTTAATATTGATCTAATAATTTTATATTGTGTATTTAAAAAAGTTTATGGCTACGCCATTGCGGATGTAAATGGTGATTGCTGGCTCGGGAGTAATAATTTTAATAAAAAAGAAAAGAAATAACGATAGAATCTTGTCTCCAGGCAAGATCGTGATCGCTTGACTCGTTAAAATAAAACGTCGATTCACTATGCGGTAAGACCGGTGCTCCGACATATAAACACACACACATATATACACGTACCTATATAAAAGTGTCATCATGCCGCTCCCGAGAATAGTTGGGTTTTACGCATCGAACAAACATGATCGAGGTGAGAAAAATATCGGGAATTTTGCGACATATGTATATTGTGCACGCGTGTTTTCCGCGAGTGATGTCGAATATGCGCGCTGGCTGGTTGATCACGTAATTCTCTCCCAGAAAAAGTAAAAATTTCAAAAACTCGTTGAAATCTTGATCGCGTAACTTTATTTGGAGTAAAATGTGGAATTTTTCCATGTTTTTCAATATAGGAATCATATCAATATGAGATATGAGACATAAAAAGTGTAAAGATTTGCATTGATAATTACGTGATCGATCGTCTGATTAAAATACTGTCGACGTTTCTCGTTAAATCACTGTTAATCCTTTCAAGATATGCTGTGTAACTAGTTAGGTACATGCATTGCATGTAAAATTATTAATTTTTCGAATATTCAAAATTATCTTTTTTAGTAAAATTTAAAAGTATCTTTTTTTATTAATTATAAAAGAAAAAAAAGCAATTAGAGCTTGAATGCAATTGTATTTGCTTAATTCACGACAATTTATGTACTTATACGTACTCACACGTTCAAGCTTTGATTGTTGAAACTCGTTGTGAAACGAAGTATTCTTGGAAAGATAACGTCAAGCGGAGCCATTTCGCCCTCTTTGCTAATTTCGCCTCAATATTGGTAACAAGACTTATAATTGGATCTTGTGGCTAAAATTATGCAAATGGTTAGCGTGATTGTATGGGCGGTGGTTTGCCGTTCACTGTTCGCCGTTCGCTAATTTTAGCAACCAAAATGTAATTATAAATCTGTCGCTGAAGACGAAGGCAAAGTCACCAAAGGGCTGACAGTATTCGAAGAGATCGTTAGTAATTAATATCGTCGAAATATCTTTATGAGAAAGATTATATTACGTGATAAAGATGATTAGATGGCGATGATTTATAAATAATTAATCGAGAGAAATTAGAAAATTTTTAATTACATTTTAAATAATTTACTATTTGAGAAAAGAAATTAAAATTGAGATTTTATCCGTAATTTGATGTCAAATTATAAATATAATTATAAGTGAGAGAGCAATAAAATCTTATGAATTTGAAGAGAAATTTCAATTAGCGATTAATTTTTGTGCTATTGAAACGCAAGATATAATCATTCTGACAATTTTTGTTCTGGCAATCGAGATAACGGGAAAAAATCTGTTCTGCCCGAAGTAAAAATAACTTCGTCTTGTTCGAAGAATTTCTAGTCAATTACGGGAAAGTGGGTTATCTTTTAACCTGGTCGCGATTTGGGTCAAGTAAAGTGCAGCCTGAGACCGTATCTATATGAAATAGCGAGGGTGTGGGAGATCTCACACGTACTTATCTAGGAGTGTCGCGTCAAATCATCGTCGTTCGCTTTAAATTTTCACGAGATTCCTTGACAATCTCTAGGTAATTTTCCCATCCGAAATACGAGTACGCGATTCACACGGTTTCATGTATTAGTGCGACGTAATAAATTCACGGTTGCATTGCCGAGCCGAGTTTTTATCTCCGTGTACGATAATCCCAAATTAATTACGCGTAACTCCCACGTGTCTCCCTCATGCGAATGAAAATCTTGCATAATTCGATGCAAGTGTGTTGCATTTAAATGCTTTTTATGCAGTTTCTGGTATTGTTCCTCGGCGTTTACGGAGTAACTGGTGGCGTTTATGGAGTACAGGTGACTCCACATACGCCTTACATGAATGACGATCTCCGTCTGACGAATGACGACAATGATACAGAGGTGGTCGAAGGACAACTCCCCGGCACGGAGAATCTCTACGAGAAGGAACTTCCGTTCTCCCGTTTCTTCGCCGTATTTAATCTGGCGGAAAGATCTCAGGTACCTCATCGGCTTCCGGGAACGGGAAATCTATCGGAAAAACGAATCCCAGATTTCGTCCTGAAGAAATTATCACCGGCTGATATTAAATAAAAAAGATCGTACTCAAAGATGTGTAACATTTTGTTCGATAACATTTGAAACATTTAGTTGTCATCAACGTTGGCATCTGATTAATTTTTATAAACTGTATTTTTTGTTAGATGTAATTGAAAAAGATAAAAATTCTAATATACAGTTTTATTATAAAAAGAAAGTAAGATAAAACTTTCTTTCTGAAATTTACACATTTTGAATCAGATAAAGTAATGTCTGTGGTTGTGGGCTGTGTATATGGATATTAATAATGCATAATGCAAAAACATTCTGAAATTATATAAGCATTAGAAATCATTGAAATCACTAATTAATGATTGATTCTATAAATATGATTAATTTTAGTTAAATCAAATCTCTTATCGCATTACATAAGCTGATCAATTATACGTAGAGATTAATTAATGATTGAATCTCATGGCAAAAAGTGTATTATAGCATCTATAAATTACTATAATTAATATATTTGCATTACACTTATTACAGAGTAAATAACTTTGCAGTAGCAATTTTGAGCGTAACGAAATGATCTACGAGCGGATAAATTTGCAGGAGAAAATATGCAATTTATATTTTTTCCTTTTTCCTTGTTGTTTTCCTTCGTTATCATCCCGCGAAATTGCTGATATTATGTGCGTTACGATAGCAATTTTATGGACAAAGATATAAGAATGGCGTATTCTATATTTAGTCCAAAATACAAAATAAAAAAACAAACTTGATTGAAAACATAATTGCACAATATACTGTTTCATGATTTGCATATGTTTTATATTTTGCTAATAACAAGCTTATTAGTCATATTATTACATAAAATAGAATTTATAACATATTTCACGATATTAACGTCTAAGACATAACAATTTTTTTAATCTGGTAATCACGAGCAAACAATTTTATGTCACTAATAACGATATCCAATTTTAATTAATTTAATTTTTTAGTTAATTTTTTACTATTTTATGGATTACTATGTAAGAAACGCATCTTGTATACGTAACGTTCATCGGTAAAGACGAAATTTTAACCCCAACTTTGTATTATAATTAAATTAGAATTGAAATTTTTATACGACAATCAATAATGTGCTTATTTTTTATAATTGCTATTTATTTTATTTATATTTTATATTCTAATATATTAACAGTAACAATAACAACAGACAGTAAGAACATTTTACTGTTCGCTGTGATTACCGCCGGAAGGGAAGAAACGTTGATACTGGCTGTATCGATTTTAGGTTGCTGCTTCTATTTTAGTCGAAAGATAACGCTACAAACATGATTTAATGAAAAAATTATACTTCCGCAAGGATGACTGAATCGCAATCATTTTGGCTTAGCAAGCCCACGGACCTGAGTTTACACACTGCGGTCATACATATACATAGAGGAATTTAAAATTACGAATAAGATAGAAAAGAATTTTACAAGAGAAAATGTATTCTCGATTGACAAAATAGGCTCGATTCCGACATTATTATTTTTTTTATTTAAAAAAAAATAAATTATACATAGGGATTATATAGAGCAATTTAAAATAAGAAGACAAGAATGATAAAAACAGTATTTATAAATTTAAACATTTAATAAGACATTCAATTAATATTTACACTTACGTGTTAATCCCGATGGACGTCAAGCAAAATAAAACTAATAGTTTATTTTAAGTTGTATTATTTAATTATAAATTTGTATGTTTTTATCATTATAAATTTACGTGTTGACGGTAAGAATAGAGAGACAGAACATTATTTGTAGAAAATACATTATTTAGTTTTCTTCGCTAGACAATTGCAATTTTGAGATGTTTTTATATTTAGACTTTTTATTTGAATATAATCGTTTTCCGCAATTAAGCCATTCATTTCGTGCATCTTTCTCTTTCTTTTTTACTTTTTGCATAAGAAAAGAGAAAGGTGCCCCGTTATTCATACAACTCAATACACTGCGCTCTTACAAGATTGACGTACCCACCTTTCAGCTACTGCTTTTCGTACTTGCCGGACATTATTTCCGTCGGTGAATTGCACCAAGTCATGGCAGTCCTTCGTACGTGTTGGAACTTTAATCCGGTCGGCGTTTGGATTTAATACACGCAACCGATTAACAGTGAGATTACACAGGGCTCTACGTGCAGTCGTCGAGCTTATAGTAGCTTTAAACTAAAATTAGCTGAACTTCGCGTATCTTCGGTACCGCGCCTTATTCTAACAAATCCCCGTCGTGTTGATCGTCAAGCACGAGGATAATAGGATTTCCATCTCACTCGAAAAACTTGACTTAGCCGCGGCTGTCTATAAAATCTCCACTTTATTTAATACAAATAGGAACAAACCATTAATTTTCTTCAAAAGTGACATTACTATTAGAATCGAGCCACTAGAATCAGTTAAATTCAATTTAAAATTAACTGACGTTAGGAAAATCAGTTCAATTAGTTCTATTCAGATATTTGGAGCTTAAATGTATCAAAGTTATAGTTTATAAATTAATTATGAGTTCTACATTTTAAATACGGATCGTGAACGTTGTGTGATTTATACTAGCTTTAAAGTTTCTCTCTCTCTCTCT